TTAAGAAGAGACTGGACAGCCATTTGTCCGAAATGGTGTAGGGTTTCCTGCCTGAGCAAGGGGTTGGACTCGATGATCTCCAAGGTCCCTTCCAACTTTATTATTATTATTATTATTATTATTATTATTATTATTATTATTATTAGCCCACACAGAAGTCTTCTAACTGTTGCACACTTCTGCTCTATCCTGAGTTTCCACAGCTCAGAACCTAACCCCAAACATGAACTTGTAGCCAATAAAAGATGCCAAACATCTGGCATCGGACAAAACGGCATGAGAGAGAGTGAACTAAAAAGCTTATGTTTTCTCTTTCTTTTAAATTTATTTTTTTGCAGATTTATTTGAAATATTTGTTCATCTTTGAAATGTTAATCCTGTTTGGCCCACGCTTTAGACATAATACACTCCTGAACTAATATGATACAATAATCTTATATGCAACTGGCCCTTTGAGGGCAACCATAAAGCTGATGCGGCTAAAGTTTGCAGGAAGCAGTTTCCTCAGTCCAACTTCTGCCTTGAAAGATCTCTGGAGAGGTCTAGATAGAAGTTGGACTCGGAGGAAACTGCTTCCTACAAATGTCTTCCACCTCCTGCTTTGCCAGAAGGGGGCACTGGACAGGGAAACACCACCGATGTCTCAGATCGGGAAAAGGACATCTCTTTAGCATGCTATACACACACACACACACACGGACACACACAAACATTCCGGGCTGGGAGACTTTTATCTACATCTGAGCTAGCAAACTGCCAATCATGCTGGGCTTGGGGAGAAGGCCCTCTCCTTCCTCTGCGGATACAAGTCTCCAAACCTGGAATTCAGTGTGTGTGCGTGTGTGTATGTGTGCACGCGCGTGCCCTTGGGTGCTAGCAGTTTGTGGGGAGGCGAGGAGTTTGTTGTTGTCCCCACATCGAGTTAGCCAGTGTGACTTGTTCCATTCCGATCCAACTGTCTTGAGTCAGCTGTGTCCAGTGAGTGGGGTCAAGCAGGCCACGCCCACCTGCTAGGCAACTGCTGGTACTCGAATATTGCCATATCCTAAAAGTGGTGAAATCTCTGAAAAGGTTGAAAAGCTCTGTTGCAAAGGATCTCTCTACTGATCAAGCGTATGGATCACACAGGCAATAAGGACAGGAGAACTTCCCACAGACCTGGCTCTTCTGGAAATTGGCCTCCTAAGCCATTCACGCTGGTTGACAAATAGGCTTTATCGAATATGGGTTTCAAAACTTGGCTTTAAAGACAAAACTCTCCAAAACTTAAGAATGATAGTGGAATGCATCATTGGCATCTACTACCCTTGCTTGGTTCAACATCAAAGAAAAACATTCCTAGATTGAAGAACCGCATCATACGTTGTTCCAGCTGCAGCTCGTCAAGACTGCAAAAGGGTGTAGTAATGCTGTTTTGCCACCCATTCAGCGCTCAGCGTAGTGCGCTTTCAGTGAAATGATAATCCAGACATTCTTGTGTTCAGATGACATTCAAGAGAGGAGAGCTGGTGTGGAAAAGTTCATTGGCTTGAGGGGTGCAGACGATGACGTGCTGGGAAATTTTTCTCTACGTGCAAGAAAAACGCCTTTAATCAACGCCAGAGCATCCACTCTGGTGGAGCTGATTGGTCTGAAGGCTTATATGAGCCACCTTTGACATGCAAACTGACTACAAAAGAAATAGAGAAGTTATTTGACGAAACAATGCAAGTACCACAGTGGCCTGTCATGCCCAATCAATAGAGCAGTGATGGCGAACCTTTTAGAGACTGAGTGCCCAAACTGCAACCCAAAACCCAGTTATGTATAGTTGGGTGCCAGGTGGGCGTGGCCCATTGGGAGGGTGCGGCCCATTGGGTGGGTGTGGCTGCGGTGCTAACGGCAGACTGGGTGGGACTAAAAAGTTCAATCAATTCCAACTTTGCAAGATCTTTTTTTTTTCCAGCGAAAAGTTGAAATTGATTGATTGAACCTGTTGTTTTTTTTGCACACGACGACAGAGGCCTAAAGCGAAAAAGTTTTATAAAACCCAGCTGAAGGCCTAGGACTGGGGCGATGGCACACGTGCCGACAGAGAGGGCTCTGCACACCACGAGTGGCACACGTGCCATAGGTTTGCCACCACGGCAATATATGTGTGAAACAGGCCACAGAGGCAGCAAGCAGAGTGTATACAGTACACATTAGAAATGTGAGGGTTATATCAGAGGCCAAGAAGCAAGTTGGCAGCTGATGCCGAACAAATCAAAACAAGACTTGATGAAACTCGCTTAAACATTTTTGTAACCCAGATAATTGCTTTCCGATGTTAGCTTATGATTGCAGGGATTATTTTTTGCTTAGCTGGATAAGATTCGTGCAGGAAAAAAAAACTTCCAATTTCTGTAGCACAAGGTGTAATTTTGAGAAGATAAAAGTTAACAGTATTTGGGTTACAAGAGACTTTTGTGGGGTATATGATCAGGTATGGATTTACCAAGCGAAACATTGTGCAATGGCAAAAATGACAAGATTTCAATTCTTGGTGTAAAAACACATATTACTGGAACCCCTCATTGGAAAAAAATGCAAAAATCACTTTTCACCCCATTAAATGACACGTCCTAGTGCGCGAGCGATACATTTCCACGCCCACCGGTCACACAAATGGAGCATCACACGTGAGGGCAAGTGCCCACCACTTACGCAAGTTGAACTTTGCGCGCACACTCACCCGCTTACGTGGCTCAGCTCCAAACGAGCCATGACTTGGAGGTTGCGGATCCCTGATTTAAAAAGCACCGATGACAAATTGGTGGCAGTGGTGGGATCGGCTCCAACTCAAGAGGCTCATTAAATAAATACTGTGTATGAAAAGAAATCTTAGCCAGTAAAGGAAGGGAATTTAGCCCTCACAAAACTTTGCAAGCAGCAGCCAACATTCTGGATGTAGCCATCAGACCTCTCACTGGAACCTTCGTCAGACAAGCAGGGATGGAAAAGGTAGAACACCCAGAGAAGGGACGAGGCCCAGATACGTGGCCCAATACCAGAACAGAAATAGTGAGGTAACAACAAGAGGTATCAAATAACCTCTAATAAAGTTGTGGGTTTTTTTTTTAACCTAAAATATAGTTAAAGAATAATGTGGCAATTGTGTTTTTGATATTTTGGAATATTTGAAACAATATAAGAAAAAACAATCAGGAATATTTCATCATGCAGAGAAGGCCTTAAGACAACTGCTATGAGTAAAGGTCTTTCCATATGCCAAACATTGATATACTGTATTTTTCACTCTATAAGACGCACCTGACCATAAGACGCACATACCGGTAGTTTTTAGACGAGGAAAACAAGAAAAAAAAATATTCTAAAGCAAATGGTGTACTAAAATATTTAATAAACTATAACAGAATAATATTTCAACCATGTTAAGTGAACAGCAGTCAACGTGACATTAAGAATCATTATGACTGTCATTAACAAATGGAGAGACTTTAAGTTTCGAGTACTCTTCTACTTTTCTGGGAACTCCAAGAACTCCTCATCGCTAGAGTCAGAATTTATGAAGCTCAGTTGCTCACAATCACTGACATCACTTTCTTCGCTATCTTGATATACAATATTTTTTTGCGCAATTCTAGTTTNTTACTACCTCCAGTTTAAAAGGAATTTTATATGCTAGTCTTTTCTGCTTTATCATCCTTGTATGTAGAATGAGGTGATATTTTTCTGCAAGAAAATACAGTAATGAAGGAACTGTCAGGAATGTGTATCCAATGTTTACCACTGAGTGCTGACCATTTGCATTATCATTGAGCGCTGAAGGACTACGTTATCACAGAGCATTGTCTTAATTCAATCAGAAAAACACACTCTTGTGCCTCAAAGCAAACAGAATTGCGGTCATATTAACCACTTGCGGACCGTCGTATTGTAAATATACAGCGGCCTCACAAGCTGGTTAATCCCAGCCACCGTCTCCGTAAGGGGACGGTGCACTCCGCAACAAGTAGGGAGGGACTGATTGTCTCTCTCTGCTTACCTATCGTTCTGGCAGAAAGAAACTGCTAGAAAAAAAGAGAAAGTGACCTGTAAAAAAAAGGTTAAACACACACACAACACTTACGGTAATAAAAAAATTATTTTTAACCACTTGACCCCCGTAGTGTTCCGCCCCCTTAATGACCAGGCCCCTTTAAGAGATTTTGCGCTCTGCGACTTTAAGGGTTTAGTGCGCGAACATACCACATAGTACGAGCGATCAGGTTAAGACTATTTGATCGCTTCTGCGACTTTTATTTTTTTATATATTAATGAAAAAGTATAGTAAAAGTTGAAAAAAAAAGTTTTTTTTATTTTCTGTTGTAAAAAAAAAAGTTATATGTGTTTAAAAAGAATTTTTTTATTATGTGTTCTGTGTCTTTAACGTTTTTTTTTTCAGATCGCTGGCCGTTGCGGTCTACGAGAGCAATTGTGAAGTAGAGACGGACCATCGATTCGTCCCTACTTTATGCGGCTCCCAGTGCACGCGCACGCCGTCCCCTGGAAGTCTCGCAACGCGAGATGCCGTCAGGAGACGGCGGCTGGGAACAACCAGCCTGCGAGGCCGCCGTATATTTACAATACGCCGGTCCACAGCTGGTTAAACACATTTAACTTTTTTTTTTACATCAGAAAATAAAAAAACATTTTTTTAAATACTTTTTCGTTAATATAAAAAAATCTGCTGCCCTCCCCCGGCTGCAGCCTTTCCTCCTCCATGCCGCACAAGCTCTCCTTGCTTCCCGGCCAGTATATGCTCTCCTCCCCTGCACTCAGGCTTCAGCTCCAGGCGGCATTCGCTCCATAAGATGCACAGACATTTCCCCCCATCTTTTGGGGGGGGGAAAGTGCGTCTTATAGAGGGAAAAATACGATAGCTTCTCTCCTCTATGGATTTTTTTATGGGACGGAAGAGCACAATTCCACCTAAAGCCCTTTCCACATTACACATATTTATATGGCTTCTCTCCTGTGGATCCTCTTGTGGGAATTAAGATTACTGCTACAAATAAAGGTCTTTCCACACACCATCCATTGATATGGCTTCTCTCCTGTGTGGATCCTCTTGTGGGAATTAAGATTACCGCTACAATTAAAGGTCTTCCCACACGCCATACATTTATAAGTTTTTTCTCCTGTGTGATTCCTTTGATGGACTTTAAGAGACTTAGAGTAACAGGTCTTTCCACACTCCATGCATTGATACGGTTTCTCTCCTGCATGGATCTTCTTGTAGGAATTAAGGCTACTGCTATGAGCAAAGGTCTTTCCACATTCCGTGCAGATAAATTGTTTCTCTTCTGAATGTGTTTTTTTATGGGAAATGAGATGATTGGATAAACATCTTTCCACACTCTGTGCTTTTATATGGCCTTTCTCCTGTGTGGATCCTGTTGTGGGAATTAAAATTACTGCTACCAGTAAAGGTCTTTCCACACTCCATGCATTTATAAGGTCTTTCTCCTTTGTGATTCCTTTGATGGATTATGAGAGATTGATTATAACAGAAGGTCTTTCCACATTCCATGCAGCGATATGGTTTCTCTCCTGTGTGGATCGTGTTATGAGAGGCAAGACTACTCCCCCTCATAAAACTCTTTTCACACTCCATGCATTGATATGGTTTCTCTCCTGTGTGGATCCTCTTATGGGAATTAAGATTACTGCTACAAGTAAAGGTCTTTCCACATTCCAAGCAGATAAATCGTTTTCCTGCATGTTTTTTTTTCATGGGAAATGAGATTGGATTTATTAAACCTCTTCCCATATTCCATGCATTTATGTGGCCTTTCTCCTGTGTGGATCAGCTTATGATGATTAAGACTACTGGTACAAGTAAAGGTTTTTCCGCACTCCATGCATTTATAAGGTCTTTCTCCTTTGTGATTCCTTTGATGGATTATGAGAGACTGATTATAACAGAAGGTCTTTCCACACTCCATACAGCGATACGGTTTCTCTCCTGTGTGGATCCTATTATGGGAGGCAAGATTACTCTTCCTGCTAAAACCCTTTCCACACTCCATGCATTGATATGGCTTCTCTCCTGTGTGGATCCTCTTGTGGGAAATAAGACTGCTACTAGAAGTAAAGGCCTTTCCACACTCCATGCATTTATAAGGTCTTTCTCCTTTATGACTCCTTTGATGGATTGTAAGAGAGTTATTATAACAGAAGGTCTTTCCACATTCCATGCATTGATATGGCTTCTCTCTTATATGTACTTTTTTATGGGAAATGGGATGATCGGATTTATTAAACCTCTTTCCATACTCCATGCATTTATATGGCCTTTCTCCCGTATTGATGATTGTATGGTTAGGAAGCCAACCTTTTTCAATTCCGCTCTGTGATCGCTTTGTTTCATTCCTCTTTCGTTGCATCTGATCTGCAAATTTTCCTTTCCCCCCTTTTGAATGGATCTCTTGGTATCTCTCCATGCAATTCTTATTTTCTTGCCCCTTAAAGCCTTGAAAAAGAAAAATGAAAACTGTAGTAAGAATAAGGGAACAACCAAACCTTTTCTTCTGAAATTTAGCCGAACAATCATCAATATATTTTGGCTGTTTTGTTGGCAAACATGAAGATTCCAAACTAAAATTATAGCAAAGACTCATTTCCAAGTCTATCCCTACTGATCCTCATATATCAGGATTGGATCACATCACAACGAACCTAAGACACAACCCTGATCTAATCTTTGACCTGGGACTATTCCGTGGTGCCACAAACTCCTAAAGTGCATTGGACACTGTATCATGCTGGAGCAGCAACATATCCACTAGCTCCCGACTTCAATAAGAGTCTCATCTCCACTTGTTTATAGAGCAGAATCTTTGAAAGCCAAGGGAATTTTCTGGATGTCAATAGCTCCCCACCCTCAACTTTGGTTAATGTCAAACTCGATACACAAGTGGGCACATCTCTAAGTGGGGAACATCTAAGTGGGCCAGTCTCTCTCAGCTCAACTCAGGTTACAAGGTTGTTGTTGTGGGGAAAACAGCAGGAGGAAGGAATATTGTCCGCTAGCTTTGTTATTTACAAAAAATAAAGGAAGTATATGCAGTGCATTCAACATGTATTCAGACCCCTTCATTTTTGTTGGGCTGCAGTTGTTGAAATTCACTTTTTTGCTCATTAATCTACACTCAGCACCCAATAATGACAAAATGAAAACAGAATTTTAGAAAAGTCTGCAAATTTATTAAAAAGAAAATACTGAAATGTCACATTGGCGTAAGTATTCAGACCCTTTGCAACAACACTTGAAATTTAGCTTAGGTGACTCCTATTTCTCTTGATCGTTGCTGACCTGTTTCTACACCTTGACTGGAGTCCACCTGTGGTAAATTAAATTGATTGGACGTGATTTGGAAAGGCACACACCTCTCTATAGAAGGCCTCACAGCTGACAATGAATACTGTAGCAGACCAAAAGCCATGAGGTGAAATGAACTGCCTTTAGAGTTCAGAGACAGGATTATTGCTACAGTAAAGGCTACAATAAAATTTCCGCTGCACTGAAGGTTCCTAAGAGGACAGTGGCCTCCATAATTCTCAGATGGAAGAAGTTTGGCACAACCAGGAGTCTTTCGAGAGGTGGTCGCCCAGTCAAACTGAGCAATCAGGGGAGAAGGACTTTTAGCAAGAGAGGTGAGCAAGAACCCGATGGTCACTCTGACTGAACTCCAGAGATCCTGTGTGAAGATGGGACAGAGTTCCAGAAGGACAACCGTCACTGCAGCTCTCCACCGATCTCAGCTTTATGGTAGAGTGGCTAGACGGAAGACTCTCCTCAGTTCAAAACACATGAAAGCCTACTTGGAGATTGCAAGAAGGCAGCTGAAGTGCTCTCAGACTGTGAGGAACAAGATTCTCTGGTCTGATAAAACCAAGATTGAACTCTTTGGCTTCGATTCTAAACATTACGTCTGGAGGAAGCCACTTCTCCCCTGCCTAATGCCTTCCCAATTGTGAAGCATGGTGGTGACAGCATCATATTATGGGGGTGTTTCTCAGCAGCAGGGACTGGGAGACTGGTCAGGGTTTGAATGGAGCAAAGTACAGGGATCTCCTCAATGAAAACCTGTTCCGCAGCGCTCAGGACCTCAGACTGGGCATAAAGTTCACTTTCCAACATGACAACAATCCTAAGCACACAGACAAAACAACACAGGAGTGGCTTAGAGACAACTCTGTGAATGTTCTAGAGTGGCCCAGCCAGAGCCCTGACTTGAACCTTATTCAATCTCTCTGGAGGGACCTGAAAACGGCTGTGTGCTGACAGGCGCCATCCAACCTGACTGAGCTTGAGAGGATTTGCAAGGAAGAATGGCAGAAAATCCCCCAATCCAGGGGGGTCAATGATGACTCAACACCACGGCGAGTTAACGGTGTCAACACATACCACTCCGCAATCCAGGTGTACAAAGCTTGTGGCGTCATACCCCAAAAGACTTGAGGCTGTAATTGCTGCCAAAGATGCTTCAACTAAGTACTGAGTGAAGAAGGGTCTGAATACTTATGCTAAGGTAATTTTTCATTTTTTTTTCTTTTTAATAAATTAACAGACATTTCTAAAATTTTGTTTTTGCTTTGTCATTATTGAGTACTAAGTGTAGATTAGACAGCATACTAAAAAGCAGAGACATCACTCTGCCAACAAAAGTGCGTATAGTCAAGGCCATGGTTTTCCCAGTTGCAATGTATGGTTGTGAAAGTTGGACCATAAGAAAGGCTGAGCGACAAAGAATTGAGGCCTTTGAACTATGGTGCTGGAGAAGACTCCTGCGAGTCCCCTGGACTGCAAGGCGATCAAACCGGTCAGTCCTAGAGGAGATCAACCCTGACTGCTCTTTAGAAGGCCAGATCCTGAAGTTGAAACTCAAGTACTTTGGCCACCTAATGAGAA